AATTTATAAAAACGGTTACTTGTTTTTACCACTCCACACCACCATGCAACGGCTAAAATCCGAAACGCAGCAAATGTTGCGAGGACACGGAGCAGCCGGAACTCTCACTGGTTGCTGGTGGGAATGCAAAATGGTGCAGCCACTCTGGAAGACAGTTGGATAGTACCTTCCAAAGATAATAATCCTACCATACAATCCAGCAATCATATTCCTAGGAATTCATCAAACTGATCTGAAAGCTTATGTCTACACAAAAACCTGCACCCAGGCCGGGTGTGGTGGCTCATGCCTGTAATCCCAGCGCTCTGGGAGGCTGAGGCGGGCAGGTCACCTGAGCTCAGGAGTTTTAGACCAGCCTGGCCAACATGATGAAGCCCTGTCTCTACTAAAAATACAAAAATTAGCCGGGCGTGATGGTAGGTGCCTGCAATCCCAGCTACTTGAGAGGCTGAGGCAGGAGGATTGCTTGAACTGGGAAGTCAGAGGTTGCAGTGAGCCGAGATTGCACTCCAGCCTGAGTGATGGGGTGAGACTCTGCCTAAAAACCTGCACATGTTTATGACACCTTTATTCATAAATGCTGAAACCTGGGAATAACCAAGGCATCCTTCAAGAGCTGAATGGATAAACTGTGATACACCGAAGCAATGGAATATTATTCAGTGATAAATGAGCTATCAAGTGACAGACGGACCTATAGAAGAAATTTAAATACATGTTGCCACGTGAAAGAAGCCAATCTGAAAAGACTCCATAAGATTCCAGCTATATAACATTCTGGAAATGGCAAAACTATAGAGACAGTAAAAAGATGAGTGTCTGCCAGGGGTTTAGGGCATGGAGGGATGGGTGGGCGGAACACAGAGGATGTTCAGAGCCGTTAAACTATTCCATGTGATACTGCCACGGGGGCCCAGGACTATGCATTTGTCAAAACCCAGCGCATGCAGAAAGCAATGAGGGAATCCTAATGTAAGCTATGAACTTCGATTAGTAACACAGGCGCTCCCCCTTATCCACGGTTTTGCTTTCCATGGTTCATTATCCACCATCAACAGCTGCCCAGAAATATTAAATGGGAAATTCCAGAAATCAACAATTCATATGTTTCTCATCGTGTGCCGTGTGCACAGTGTGATGAAATCTCATGCCGTCCTGCCCAGGACACGAGTCTTCCCTGCGTCCAGTGTATCCACGCTGCAGACACTACCCACCTGTCAGTCACTTAGCAGCTGTCTCAGCTATCAGATGGAAAACACATATAAGGGTTTGGTGGCATCTACCGTTTCAGGCATCCACTGGGTGTCTTGGAACATGTTCCCTGAGGATAACGGGGGACCACTATAATGTATAAATAGTGACTCATTCATTGTAACAAATGTCCCATGCTAAACGCAAGATGTCAATAACAGGGAAACTGTCCAGGAGAGGTATAGGGGAATTTCTACACTGTCGTCTCATAAAAAAAATTTTTTTTTTTTTTGAGACAAGAGTTTTGCTCTTGTTGCCCAGGCCGGAGTGCAATGGCGCAATCTCGGCTCACTGTAACCTCTGCCTCCCAGGTTCAAGCGATTCTTTTGCCTCAGCCACCCAAGTAGCCGAGATTACAGGCATGTGCCACCACACCAGGCTAATTTTGGATTTTTAGTACAGATGGGGTTTCTCCATGTTGGTCAGGCTGGTCTCGAACTCCTGACCTCAGGCGATCCACTCACCTCGGCCTCCTAAAGTGCTGGGATTACAGGCATGAGCCACCGCACCAAACCCTCCCTCCCACCCCACCATCGCTTCGTTGGTACAAAACTCCTTAGTTCAGCCAGGCATGGTGGCTCAGGCTTGTAATCCCAGCACTTTGGGAGGCTGAGGCGGACGGATGGCCTGAGGTCAGGAGTTCAAGAACAGCCTGGCCAACATGGTGAAACCCTGTCTCTACTAAATATTCAAAAATTAGCTAGGCATGGTGGCAGGCACCTTAATCCCAGCTACTTGGGAGGCTGAAGCAGGAGAATTGCTTGAACCCAGGTGATGGAAGCTGCAATGAGCCAGGATCGTGCCACCACACTCCATCCTGGGTGACAGAGCAAGATTTTGTCTCAAAAAAACAAACCTCCTTAGTTCATTGAGTGTTTCAAATAACTAAAAATGAATCTAGTCCTTTTACACAGGATTTCCTCATACGAGAAAGGAAATATTTAGGCTGTATGTATTAATGTATTGGTGCAGGGGAAACAATAGAAATTTTTTTGTCTTTTTTTTTTTTAATTCTTTAGGCTATTTTTTTTTTTTTTTTTTAGTCTCACTCTGTTGCCCAGACTGGAGTGCAGTGGCGTGATCTCAGCTCACTGCAGCCTCTGCCTCCTGGGGTCAAGCAATTCTCCTGCCTCAACCTCCCAAGTAGCTGGGACTACAGGTATGCACCACCACACCTGGCTCATTTTGTATTTTTAGTAGAGATGGGGTTTCACCATGCTGGCCAGGCTGGTCTCGATCTCCTGACCTCGTGATCCACCTGCCTCAGCCTTCCAAAGTGCTGGGATTACAGGTGTGAGCCACTGCACCCAGCCTCTTTAGGCGTGTTTTTTATTCCTACCTTTTTTTCCTTAGAAACATGGAACTTTGTGAAATATTTTGAGACCCTGAGAAGTGACGTGCACAACGTCATGCAGTAGAAATGAAAATCCGCTCTGTAGCCTCCCCGTGCTTCCTTGCTCCGTAATTCATGAAAGGGGCGTTCGCATAACCCTTTTCCAGCTTTCACGGAAGCTGCAGCCCAGAGAGGAGCTAGACACGTGCCAGCCAGTCCCATGCGATGCGGATGCTGTAGAGGAGGAGTGGGGGCAGGCCGCGGAAGCTGAGAAGGGCTGGCTCTGAGTTTCAGTAGGAGAGGATGCTCCTGCTGAGTTTCGAAGGCTGTTGTTGTGCAGAAAAATGTGGAAGAATTCAGCTTGGGAGATGGCCGTGTTGGCAGGTAAGGAGGGGGAAGGGCTTCTGGAAGAGAGGGCCGTGCAGCAAACACAGAGGCCAGGAGGAACGTGGGGCATTTGGGAAACCACAAGGAGGCCAATATGGTTGGCTTCAGGGTGGCTGTGCCTTTATGGGAAGGCAGGAACCTCGGAGGTTGTCCTGCCAGGAATGTGAAACCATGGAATGTAGAGTTAGCAGCAGCCATTTGGGGGTCTAGAAAGGTCACTCCATGTCAATCGGAACTGCGGCAGGAAGACCTTAAGATGCCTTGGCTGTTGTTCTGGAGAAAAACGTGGAAGAATTCAACTTGGGAAGTGGTCATGTTAACAGACAGTGGAGTCAGGGTGCCGGGGACATTTCAGAGAAGAGTCGGTGACCTGTGACAGCTGGCGAAGGACGGGGTATAGGGGTTTTTAATTTGGGATCTGCACATCTAGGGATGCTGTTTGCTAAGAAACGGGAATGTAAGAACATGTTTGAGCGGTGAGATGTGGAATTTACGGTGTCTCCAGGCACCCAAGTGGAGATGCCTAGCCGACCCTGGAGAGGTGGGTCCAGGCTGGGAAGTGAAGCTGGAGCCATCATCACAGGGAGAAGCAGACGTGTGGGCTGCATGCGGTTGATCAAGGAAAATATGAAGAGGGGATAGAAATAGATTATGGTTGGGGAAACAGCACCATTTAAGAAACAAGTAAAGGAAGAAGCCAAGAGAGGTGGAGGTGAGGTAGGAGACCAGCAGGATTTATTTCCTGGCCACTACCCTGTGGACCGAGACAGAATCTGATTCAGACAGGAGAACGTAAAGAAACAGGCAGGAAGAAGCAGATGGCTATGACCGTGATCCCTGGCTGCCCTTTCTGCTCATTAACCTAGGACACTTTCGCAAGCCCCATAACAGTTTATAAATGCCATGGGAATGACCCAGAAGTTAACACCCCTTTCCATGACAATGACCCGGAAGTTATTGTTCCTTTCCTAGAAAGTTCCAAATAATCCACCCCTCAATTTGCATTAACCTGCCCCTTAATTTGCATGTTATTGAAAGTGAGTATAAGTGGGTATGAACACAGTTTCCAGGAGTCACTAGGCTGCCAATTCTGGGCACACTACTATGCGTTAGCCCTGCTCCACAAGGAGAAATAGCACTGAAGAAAATACTACCACCACCAGATTGCTCCTGAATTCTTTCCTGGGCAAAGCCAAGAATCCTCCCAAGCTAAGCCCCAGTTTTGGGACTCACCTGTCCTGCAACAAATGGTCTTAAGTTTTAATATAAAAATAAAACCATAAAAGTGCAGAGAAAGCGACGGGTGCAGTGGCACTTTGGGAGGCTGAGGCAGGCGGATCACTCGAGGTTGGGAGTTCGAGACTAGCTTGACCAACACAGAGAAACCCTGTCTCTTCTAAAAATACAAAATTAGCCAGGCGTAGTGGTGCATGCCTGTAATCCCAGCTACTTGGGAAGCAGATGCAGGAGAATCACTTGAACCCAGGAGGCAGAGGTTGCGGTGAGCCGAGATCGCACCCTTCCACTCTAGCCTGGGCAATAAGAGCAAAATTTCATCTCAAAAAAAAAAAAAAGCGTGGAGAGAAAAATACAGGGAAAAATGTACATGATTTTGTGGTGGGGACTATTAGGGCTAATTTTTTTGCCAGTCAATAACAATTGAATATTAGCAATTTCGACCTAATACATTTCTAAATGTCACCTAAGGCAGAAAATATACATGGTATTTGGGTTTTTATTTTTGCACACAAGAAATTAACAACTCCTTTACCAGGTATTTGGGTTTTTAAAAAGTATACATATATATGTTTTTAAAAGCATATACAAGATTATAATAGGAAAATTTTTGCAACATACGTGACCAAGGGTTCATAATTTAATGTGTAAAGGACTTCCAAACATAATTAAAGAGAAACGCTCCCTCAAACAAAGTGAGCAGGGAACGTGGACTGATGTATTAGTTACTACTGCCGCATAACAAGTTATCCCAAAACTCAGGAGCTTAAACAACAAACACATTATCTCACACTGTCTGAAGGACAGGAATCCAGGAGCGGCTAACCTAGGGGTCTAATTCAGGGTGTCTCCTGCAGTCAGGAGGTAAGCCAGGGTTGTGGCCATTAATAAGGCTTGCCTGGGCTTCCAAGGTCACACCCTCTGCTGTTAGTGAGAGCCTCAGCTCCTTTCTGGTTGTTGGCTGGACGCCTCGGTCTCTCACCATGTGGGCCTCTCCACATGGCAGCTCACTTCCTCCAGGGCAAATGAGAAAGAGAAAGAGAGAAAGTTCACTGTCCACTGCCTAGCCTCAAAGTCACACATAGGCACTTTCACTTAACTTATTCATTAGAACCTGACCATTAAATCCAACCACACTCCCTTCTTTGAAGGGAATAATATCAAAGAATGTGGGCAGGCATTTTTAAAACCCAAAGGGAAATTTTAAAACACAATGGGGAATTTACAAAAGATGAAATATACATTACAAATAAGCATGAAAAACAGCACCCCTCTGCTTTCCGGGGAAATTAATTAATTACTCCCAGGTCCACAGCACATGGAGTTTTCCCCAGCCTCCCTTTGCCGGCCGCACCCCTCCCCTCCCCATCTGGCCTCTTCTTGCAAAGGCCCCCTGGTCTCCTGGGAAAAGACTCCCTCCAGCCATCAAGCTGAGGCCGGTGAGCCTCTTCTTATTCCTGTTATCTCATTCATCACGCTATATTGCAATCACCTCTCTCATTAACCGCCGAGCTCTCTGAACTCCAGGTCCATGACATCATCATCATGTTACTTCTAGTGCCTAGCATATGGTAGACACAGTAACCACGTCCCACGTGATAAATGGTCTACAAAGTGCTTTTAGGGAACACAGAACCCATGTTTCCTGGGTCTGAAAGAAGTCACAAAGACTGGGCATCACCTCCCAGCCTGTTTGGAATGCAATACCGCCGGGTGAGAGATTTCTCCTCGCATAGACACACCCACCTTGCAGACTCTGCAAGCCTGGCCTTCTCCAGTTCTCTACAACACGGAGGCTCCACAGCAAGGCTTATTCATCCAGACACAGGATTTACATTTATTCCTAACAACAGCCATCAGGTTGGCAGCTCAGCCCTGCCATGGGCCACAGTGATATCCCCCATTGCGTTTCACCAAATAAACTCCGAAACCCAGAGACCCAGCAGGCTGGGACGCCCTACCTGAGCCGCAGACACCTCCCCGCAGCCAGACAGCTCATCCGAGGACTTTCTCACGTGGCAGCAAGCCCGTCAGCTCCTGCTCATCAGCATGTGTCTTGCTCTCCAGACGTAAGTGCTCTTCAAGGGCAAAAAAAAAAAAAAACCCTCTGCAAACACAACATCACCTCGTGCAGAACCATGGTCCATGAAGACTCCCACCAAGTACGGCATGGAAAGGAGAAAAGGTGATGAGGAGGAGGTGAGCTCACCCAGCTTCCTTGGTCAGTGACTTTTGAGTACCTCCTATGTATCAGTCAGCAATGGCCACAGTGATGCTGAGTAACAAATATATGGGTGGACAAACAGCCACTGCTGGGACCAAGGGGTCCTAAAGCCAAGTCCTGGACCTGTGGCTTGTTGCTTCAACCCTGGGAGGCCCACGGAGTTCTGGATATTCGCGGGGTGCACTCATAAGCAGGAAATCCAAGCCTCTAGGCCAGCCCCCCTGTTCTGGCTGTTACCCCATTGCAGCTTCTGGACTTCAGCAGAGAAGAGTGAATTATTTCCTGTCCTCTTATACTCTCTGGCTCAGGAAGCAATGGAAAGATGTAGGGATCCCAGAGCATCCGAGTGGTCCAGTATTCCTTGCGACTGCCGACCGGACATAAACTCACCAAGTTTTTTACAACAAGCTTGTCCCTTCCTGGTGGGAAGCTCCCCAGATATAACAGCAGAAACAGGCCCATCAGCTTCTGCCAGGAAGAAAGGGCGGTGCATAAGTCAGACCTCGTGGCTCCTTCAAACACTCAGAGGCAACATTAATCTGCACTCTTGGATGAAAGGTCCAGCTTGCCTTGCCAGTTCGTTTGTAAACTATGCAGCCAGAAAGCATCTCCAGCGTAGAGACCCACTGCTTCCCTGAAGCGTTAGGGGTTGCAAGGCCTTCTTCAGTAGTCTTTCTGTCTGTCTTTCAGCTGCAAAATCAGCAGCAGCATTTAATAAGAAAAACAGAAGCCACAGGAAAAAGGGAGCTCTGGAAACAATACACAATGTAAAACCCTTTAAGTTTCAGCTGCTCCCAGTTAGAGGACACTCAACTGGCTACAGGCAAGAGCCTGACAACGGGCCAGTTGACCAGGGAACTAATGAGCAACAGGAACACGGCTTCCTTGGGAATGTTGTCTGCAAGCCAGGGACATGGACAGCTCAGGCACCAGCTGCCCCCTCTCTCCCCTACTTTGGCCTCGTTTTCTTCCTCTCTTCATTTCCTCCTGCCCACTGCCCTCCTGTTCTCACTGTTTCTTCTTCCTGTCCCATTATTTACTTCTCTGTCCGTTCTTTCATCCTCTTCGGGGACATCCCTTAAGCATTGAAGATTATGTGGCATTAAATATATCCCTAAGACAAAGAGGAGAATAATTAGTTATAACAGCCTGGGCATGGTGGCCCACACCTATAATCCCAGCACTTTGGGAGGCAGAGGAGGGTGGATCACCTGAGGTCGGGGGTTCGAGACCAGCCTAGGCAACATGGTAAAACCCCGTCTCTAGTAAAAATACAAAAAGTTAGCCAGGTGTGGTGGCAGGCGTCTATAATCCCAGCTACTCCGGAGACTGAGGCATGAGAATCACTTGAGAATCACTAGGAGGCAGAGATTGCAGTGAGCTGAGACTGTGTCATTGCACTCCAGCATAGGCGACAAGAGCAAAACTCCATCTCAAAACAAAACAAGCAAAAAGATTAGTTATAACAACAGCCACTTTTGCTGAGTGTTTATTATGTGCTAGGCACTGTTCTAAGCACTTTGCAATCACCAGCTCACTCCTCCAAGATGGTCTACAGCTGCAAACTTCCCCTAATGCTATCCCCGTTTAACACATGGGGCAGACGGAGAGCGCAGGCTCGTTCCGATGAGAAGCTTTGAAGAAAGGAGACTGGGTGCTTCCTGTTCCACCGTTTCCGTAACGGGGCCCTCTCGAAAGTCCCTAGGGGAATTGTTGTGAAGAATCTCACTTCCTTCACAGTGGCTGGCACAGGCTTGTCCTGTCGTGATGAGGACATAAAAAGGAAGCACCCTCTCTTGTTTTGTAGGCACAGGCCCATGAGGCAGACAGCAATGGGTTAACAAGCACAGGATTCTCCCTAGACTCAGCTGGCTGACCAGTTGTCCCACTTTCTTCTCCTAGCTGGCAGGAAACGGAGCATGAAGCATTGGAACAGCCAGGATCTGCTTGGTTGCAAAGAAGAAACACAGCAAAAGGTGCTTCAATGATAAAGACACATTCTCTCCCATACAAAGCATTAGCAGTACGGCAGCTCGAGGGGTGGTTAATTCTGCAGCTCAGTTGACACTGTGGACTCCAGTTCTTTCTACCTGTCTTCACTGCCATCTTCATGTCCCTGCTCACGGTATCACAATGGCTGCCACAGGCAAACATCCACACACGACATCCCGAGGTGAAGAGGGGGCCATCTCTTCCCTTCTAGGAGCTAAGAGCCATTGCCCAGAAGCCCCCAGCAGACTTCTCCTGACATCTCATTGGCTGCGACTGGATCACCTGTTCCTGCCTAAGCCAAAAACAGGCAAAAGCAATGGGACCCTATGTTTGCTTTGGGAAACAAAAATAACATCCTAAGCACCCCCAACCAACTGAACGGACCCTCTCTGGACCAAGGGAAACCTGAAAAAAATGAATTCCCTACCCCGAGAGGAAGGGAGGGTTACACCTCATTATTCTCCCCCCTCCCCGTTGGAGTTTAGGCACAGCTGACCGCATTAACATTGAAATAGCGATCGATCGATCGTGAGGCTGATGGAAGAACTTACTATGCAATAATACCAAATTCCAACCTGACTCTGATATAGCATCATGTGACAGCAGACCCTGAAGGAAATCAAAATTGTTTACCCCCTAAAATATATTTCTTGACATATTTTGAAATGAGCCTTCAATGTTGTCTCTTGTGGGAGAAATTTGCATCTGTAGAGAACCTTCTTCCCTTTCTAGGTCTTACCCGATCTAGAAGGGATTAAATGAGAGTTTGACACATTTAAGGCCTGAAAAGAGATATTTACCGTGCTCTCCCTAAGGCTGCACCTGGAGGTCCATCTACATAACAAGAACCTTGGCTTCTGCAACCCCTCTTATTCTAACTCAAGCGTTTACTCCAACTCTGCAGACAAAGCTTAACCCTTTCAACTAATTGCCAGTCAGAAAATCTTTGAATCCACCTGTGACCTGTAACCAGTCTCCCCTCCCACTTTGAGATCCCCACCTTTTTGGGGCAAATAAATATATACCTTCCATCTACTGACTTATGTCTTTGCCTGTAACCTCTGTCTCCTTAAAATGTATAAAATGAAGCTATAACCTGTCCACGTAGGGGAAATTTTCTCAGGATCTCTTGACATTGTTCCCCAGGCTGGAGTGAATGCCACCATCTCAGTTCACTGCAACCTCCATCTCCCGAGTTCAAGCCATTCTGCCTCAGCCTCCCAAGTAGCTGGGATTACAGACATGTGGCACCATGCCTGGCTAATTTTTTTTTATTTAGTAGAGATGGGGTTTCGCCATGTTGGTCAGCCTGGTCTCAAACTACTAACCTCAAGTGATCTACCTGCCTTGGCCTCCCAAAGTGCTGGGATTACAGGCTTGATCCACCACACCCGGCCTAAAACCTCTTTATTTATTTATTTATTTATTTATTTATTTATTTATTTATTTTGAGACGGAGTTTCACTCGTGTTACCCAGGCTGGAGTGCAATGGCGCGATCTCGGCTCACCGCAACCTCCGCCTCCTGGGTTCAGGCAATTCTCCTGCCTCAGCCTCCTGAGTAGCTGGGATTACAGGCACTCACC